ACACTAATCGGAATCCTCTTGTGTCTACATTAATAATAATCAAACCTCCCAGGACACTGTGATTCTTTCAGAGTTCTAGTCATCAGGGCTCGGCTCGACTAACGGCCGGCATTAGATATTCTCTCCGTATGTAGTGAGATTTCCTTGTGGGCACATCTGGAGCGGCATCATTGATGAAAAAGATAGCTCATTACTTGATTTTTGGATTCTGTCCTTCATAGTCTTCTCACCTGTTCTGGACGTCTCGCATCCTAACCGGGTCATTGTGGCTAATTAGACCATGAAGTGGAAAAATTAAGGGCCACAAAAGTGGTTATTAAAATGGAAATGAATAAGTAAAAGAGCTGAAAGGGCCAGCTCATATGTAATCAGATTTTTGGGCTGGTTAGCGCTTAACTTGCTGCCCATTTCTAAAATGATTTGCTTGTTGTAACATAATTTCATGGGGTTTTTTTGCACAGACAAGCAGCAAAATTCTGATTCCAAAAACGGTATTAAAATCTGATCTGAAAGTGTTTCAGTCTGAATGGTCAGATCACTCAAATGATTTTTACAAAATTTTAAAATAAATCAGTTTAAAATTTTGAAAAATCAGTTAGATCCGATTTAATGTAGTTTTTTTTTTTTAATAATTCATGATACACAAAGCACAGTAGAAAAAAAATTATATATATATCCCGTATGAGAAAGGTCCACACACAACCTTTATATTGACATTAAACCTTTTCACACCAATCCAACTCTCATTTCCTTTCTCAACGGCAATACTTACTGCTGAAAGATGCTGCTGATAATTACCACTTTTTCTACTGCCTATTACTAGAAAAAAAGTCCTTGTCACAAACGACTGTGTTCATTCTATAGTGCTTTGTGTCACATCTGTGCTTGATCAGGCTATAGGCAGACTCCAAATGAAGCTCCTGTGAATTTGCATCTGCATTTCAAACGCAGCCTTGCGTTGTGCCATCTCTCCTGGATGTACTCAAGATAAGCATGCTTCATGACAATCACTATAAGACGCAGAGATATACATACCAATGATTTGCACTGGCCATTAAAAATTCAAACCAAGTGGTGCTCGCTATAAGAAGAGCCGAATCACCTTCATATGCCTGCTGTATTTAAACATCAGCTCAAAGTCAAAAGCAGATTGACAGTTGTCACTCTACATCACATTCATTAATGGCAGTAAGTGTGAAGAGCAGAATAAGATGTGCTTTGAAAATCCTTCTTGAAGAACTTCAAAGCTAATGACTTTCCAAGGACGGGCAAATAACATTACAGGGTCCAAGTTACACGAACAACTGTAATTGTATAAAGTTTGGAGGAAAGGTTTGACTATTTTAATTGACATGGCATCTATTAATACAGGGCTTTTTGGGGGAACCTCAAAAAAATTTATATAAAACACAAGACACAATGCAGAACCTAAAGACGTCCACCTGCATGGTGTATAGCAGTGCTTTAAAAAGGGACACATTTAAAAACAACTTTTCCAAGTAAATTATACCATGGAAACAGTGTAACAGCTAAAGCACAGCATGTTAATTAATCCATCACGACTAAAAATATCAAAACTAAATAAAGAAAAAAATATTGGTGTTTTAAATAGGGATACACTTAAAGACAACTTTTCCATGGTTTTACCATGGAAACAGGCTAACAAAACGTTAATTAAACCATCATTGCTATAAATATCAAAACTAAATAAAAAAAAATCTAGACTCCTGACACGCCAATAAAAGCTTTCAACAATGCATTTGCATCATTTCTTTCAAATAAATAAATATATACACAGACACACACACACATCATGATTGTTAATATTCTGTAAAAAATGTGCCTTATTTTAAAAAAGGGGATGTTTTACACATGCATTTGCATTATTTCTTTCAAATAAATAAATATACACTCACACACACATATACAGTGGGTACGGAAAGTATTCAGACCCCCTTAAATTTTTCACTCTTTGTTATATTGCAGCCATTTGCTAAAATCATTTAAGTTAATTTTTTTTCCTCAATGTGCACACAGCACCCCATATTGACAGAAAAACACAGAATTGTTGACATTTTTGCAAATTTATTAAAAAAGAAAAACTGAAATATCACATGGTCCTAAGTATTCAGACCCTTTGCTGTGACACTCATATATTTAACTCAGGTGCTGTCCATTTCTTCTGATTATCCTTGAGATATATATATATATATAGTCAAGGTATGCACTGGGCGGCTGAAAAATATCAAGAACTGATTCACTGATAAACTGAATCTAATCATCCAACATGATCACCATAATATTTGCATATTTTTACACAAATTATAAACAGATTGGCAGATTATATATTAAAAACTTTCACAAGGTTCCTTTGACAATACTATGTTATGGCCTCAACACACTTTTACCATAATGCATGATTTGTAAACTAGTATATTTTGATGTTTGTATCATATAACAAACTCCACATGTATGGCTTTTCTGATGTTGTAAACTTGCTCGTTTGCTCACCTGGTACAGGTGTTGGTGGTACGTTATTTTTAAACCTGATTAACCTTTAAGTGCCACTAACTGGACATTACATTTCCGAACCGTCATGATACATACAACAACTAGTGTGATAAAATGTTGCCAGAATCATGCTCATCTGTTTAAATCAGGGGTCGGCAACCTTTTGGGCATGAAGTGCCATTTTTAATTTTTCTGGTTAACCACTGTGCCCTCTGAGTTGGCACGCATGCCATAGGTTGGCGACTCCTGGTTTAGATAAAACTGAACACTTTTACTTGGACATTTCACTTTGAAAGTGTTGCAAGACATGTAAGAAGCAATGCAATATTTTGTAGGGGTGCTCCGATCAGGATTTTTGAGGCTGATCACTGATCGCCGATCACAGGAAGCAGTATCTGCCGATACCGATCGCCAATACCGATCTTCTTAAAGGAGATCATTAAAGGAGATCAGATGCTTTTTTAAAGATCATTATTTTGTGTATTTGGTGTAACAGAATATGTTGACATGCTTTAATGTTCAAAAAACACATTATTTTTCAAATACTACATTATTGTAGGTCCTCTATGCCCCGCCTCTCTCAAACACGTCATTTTCTACAAAGTCCCTCCTTCTGACAAGCGCAGTCTGCTCTGATTGGCCAGCTGACCCAGTCCAGTGCACTCGTCGGAAATGTACCGCCCCTTACCATAATCGCGAGCTTCATCTTTCAAAATAAATGTAAAGACAGTAAATAATGTCATTACTTTTACCATCAGTCCGAAAGGGGAACAGAAGTTAGGTGACATGTTGGGGGGGATTTTTTAATTTGAGGGGTGGAGGGGGGCATTTTATTGACATTTTTCAAATATATATATTTATCTGACCTAAATGTTTGATGATCATGCAGTGCATTTGTTTTTACAATCGTGCGATTGTTGCACAATAGCTTACACACAGCACAAGCCTGATTTTGTGAGCTGTATGTGAGGCGGCCTTTTACACAGTGTTCACACATACTCCGTTTGCAGTGCGTATGCAGTCCATGTGCGGTACATGAGTGGTGCAGAAGCAGCACAGACTCATTGTGCTTTCACACAGGAGTCTGTTCCTGATCCGTGGCTGTTTACCACAAACACAACATTTATCCATTATTTTGATTTCAAATCCAAACATTGTTACTGAATTACCTATATTGTACTGTGGTACAGTTATGGAGGCACTTCATAATGCAGAGGTCAACTGCCTGCTCTGCCAATAGTTAGAAATGGCACTATAGTATGCAGTGTTTAATAAACAGCTGTTTTTCTAAACTCTGCTGAGGTGAAATTCAGTGCAGTCATGTATCGTGATACGTATCGTATCGTGGCCCCTGTATCGTGATACGTATCGAATTGTGACTTTGCTGGTGATACACAGCCCTACGCAGTACACGTAGCAAGTTTTTTTTTTATTATATAATAGATAAAAAGAAAACCGATAGATATAATAGAAAAAGAATAGAGAAAGCTAGTGTTAGAAGTCTTTTTTTTTTTAAATAAAAAAGAAAACAAATAGATAAAATAGAATTAGAATAGAGAGTGCTAGAATTAGAGGGTCAAATAAAGATGGAAGAGATGTGTTTTTAGCCGCTTCTTGAAGATGGCTAAGGACTCACTCAGCTGCTCGGATTGAGTTAATTTAAATTACTTTTTTAACGTTTCCAAACTTTCTAAATTAAAACTTACCATTGACAGAAACAGTCAGCTCTACTGCCTTTTCTTTTGCATTTAAATCTTTATTACAAGCAAAACTTTGTTTTCCTACCTCCATGAGTGCATCTATTATTGTTTATCTAGAAGTGCTCTTTTCCTTTAAGCCTAGCCAAAAAGTCATATGTGTTGACTGTGAAACACAGTAGACTTACATTATGTGCATTTATGGTGTAATTGCTACATTTTCGTGTCAATCCAAGTTCATATTTACCGCAAACAATGCGCTGTCACTTTAATTCAGCGCTTGCAGCACAGCAATAGACTCAACAATCTCTGCACTGCTGCAGACGCACCGCTCCTGGAACACACTGCCGGACCGCAACCGTGTGCAGTGTGAACACTTTATAAACCAGGTTTATATCTGAGAGTGCGCGTCCGGTTTTGTGCAAGAGCAAAGGAAATCCACGTGCGAGCGGGGAAATTCGCGCTCACGCATTATATTAACCTACCTTCGCGCTACAACAATGCACTCTCGACATTTGCCATTAAAATAACGCCCTATTTAATCCGTTAACTTGAGCGCGAGACTGAGACTGTGCCGCTGCATGTCGTGTCAATCCTCTCACGGCAGGCATCAGCTTGAGATCATTTTTTTGAGATCGGCCTTTTTAGAGACCGCCGATCAATCATCCCAATGCGATTATCTGCCGATAGTGATCGGTAGCCGATCAATCGGAGCACCCCTAATATTTTGCAACAACGTCACCACAGGCACGTTTTTCCAATGAGGATGGGTTGGACTGATGAGATACTCACAGCCATATAGACAGCAGCGTACACGCTGAGCGCCGCCTCTTTGGAAGGGAAGGTCTTGCGTGCACGCAGGATGTCGTCCTCGTTGCCGGTGCAGGCTTCCTGATGGCTGATGTAGCGAAGAGCTTGCTGGCAACCCAGAGCTGTATAGTTGGGCTTACACAGTGTCAGGAAATGAGGGGCCAGGTTCCCCGTTACCACCTGACCAGCGTTCACAAAGATGTCAGTGGTGAAAAGGCCAAACATGTATACACCTATGGAGAAGAAAACAGATCCAGATACCAATTACTACAAAAACATGAAAACAAAAACTTTCATTCTCTTATTTTTGTGAATTTACTATTACCATATATCTACCATAAACGCTTCCTATATTTGATATTAAAATTCCCTGCCTTTATTTGACATTAAAAGTATGTAATCCCTTAAAGAGAATCCATCAACATGGGACTTAAAGTATGTATTTCACAAACGTGACCTGGAAAATTGGTTCAATTATTCAGCGGTCGCGCTCAGCCTGTTTATGTGGGCTCGGTTAGCACAGCGCGTACCAGAACCGAAATTTCGTACTTAAGCACATTAAGGGGATGGATTCGACTAAGCCTAGGTGATCTCCACAGTGGCACACATTTCGCCGCTGAGCTGTGAGGACGCATTAGAGGAGCTAATGTACTGAGCTAATGAGCTAATAACCAAACTTCATAACTGAACCTCATAATTGAGTCTCTCTCATCGCCGCTCTGTAAACCAAACCATAATACCTCAAATAAAAGAGCTCAAACATTGGATGTGCATGTTATTGACAAACCAAATTCAATTATATTTTACATAATAGAATTATTACATAATAATTTTCTTATAATTATCAATGTTGAAAAGTTTTTGCTGCTTAACATTTTTGTGATACATATTTTCATGATTCTTTGATGAATAATAAGTTGAAAAGAACAGCATTTATTTGAAAAGACATTCATAATATTATAATTGTCTTTACTGTCACTTCAGTTCATTTAAAGCATAACATTTTTATTCCTTTTTATTTAGTATCTTTCTTACCCCAAATTTTTGAATGGTAGAGTATGTATGTTTAGCCCTATGAACGCCCTCATTGTCAAAAATCTGAACAAAACTATGCAAAGTCAAAGAAAGTGAGCAAGACTTTTTCAATATGGGTAACTGTTTTGTTGGCTCACCACTTGACGATCCTGAAGCAAAACGAGAACCACAGAGCTTGAGGAACCCAAAATCATGATGGACACATCACAAATTAGTCTTCCTCTTCATAATATACCCCCGTGTTCTGAGGAGTTTTACAATGGTAGATATTAGCCGAGGAACAGGAAGTCACCATTGTTTCTGAAAGAGCTCAGTTTTTCTCTTTCACTCCTAAATGTCATGTTCTTTTTGTTTAGAACATCTTTTCAGCTCAACAGAATGACAGGCTTGACAAGGCTATTATTATAGCCATTCAAAGACTTGTGTCAACAATAAGTCATTTTCACAACTGTTGGCAGGTGTATTCAGACAACATTAACAAAGCCCCGTTTAACATGTTTCCCTCTGTAAATACAGTCACTCCGAGGAACGCCTTACAGATTTTTTACGTAACGCAGAGCAAAACAAGTTTGGCAGATGGTTTGGAGAGAAAATATGGTCTAGTTTTATTAAGAGACTTGAGAATGCCAGTTGAAAAAAATTTAGTTTTTGCTTTAGGCTGGAAAAAATATATTTTTCTTTTTTTTTTTTTTACAAAACATGACTTAATTAAATGGCCTGAAATGAAAATAAAAAAAGATTTTACCCAATTGTGACTGTTTTATGAAAAGACATTTTTAACTCCATTACCTTCATAATGATACATTCAGCCTGAGTTCAAATTGTTACAGAAAACATCAGATTTAACATTTCATTGATATAACAGAGGAAGAACAGGAGCTATTTAATGATGCTTTACTGGCACAAACACACTGCTTTGAAGTGTTTTCCGTTTTCATTCGCAATCATTTATGATATCAAGAGTCAATGTGAACCAAGAGTTCTTTTCAGGCAGAGAGATGGGGAAATATTACTGAAAAAGCCTGCCTGAGCTAACCGAGAGTGCACCATGACCCACAGCCATTTTCTAAATTTAATCTCTCCCGAAGAACATCGCAGCGTGACTCATTATGCACATAACACAAGCCAGTGACTCCAGGTCACAAAGCAACTGGTCTCATTCGATGCTTTTCAGTCGAGATGCATCATCAAACCTCAAACAAAACAGGAAGAAACATCATTCTTCAAAATTTTGATTTCAAGCAGCCGCCACAGACTGGAAATCTTCTAGGTGCTTTATCTTTTGAGTTTGAGGTTTGCAAGGACTAAAACTGTAAATCAGATAATAATCAATCAGCACCCAAAAAGAATTTTCTTAGTAAAATAATGTTACAATGAACCATTTTAACATATATAGGATATAAATGGATGATTTGTCCTTTATATTTTTAATAACATTTTGTAGAAGCAATAAGGAAATGTGCTATATTGTGAATATATTTACATACACATAGTAATGTATTTCAAGTTTCATTTATTTGATTGAAAATACAGTAAAAACAGTAATATTGTGAAATATTATTACACTTTAAAATAACTGCTTTCTATTTTAATATATTTTAAAATGTAATTTATTCCTGTGATGCAAAGCTGAAATTTCATTGCTCCAGTCTTCAGTGCCACATGATCCTTCAGAAATCATTCTAATATGCTGATTTGCTGCTCAAGAAACATTTCTTATTATTATTATTGAAAATTGTGCTGTTTAATATTTTTGTGGAAACTGTTATCAATTTTCTTGGTCACATTTGACGAATGGAAAGTAAAAAAAAACAGCATTTATTTGAAAGAGATTTTTTTTGTCACTTTGGATCAATTTAATGTGTCCTTACTGAAAAAAAGTATTAATTTATTAAAATAAATAAATTCTTACTGACTCAAAACTTTTGAATAGTTTTCAAAACCTTAAGTTTTTTTAACCTTATTGCTTAATTGTCGTATCATTACTCACACTTATGTTGTTCCAAACCTCTATGACTTTCCTCAGTTACCAATGAATGTCATTTGGTGTCACTGATGTCAAAAGTAAATGAGATTTGAGAACTGCAATGGATTTTCAATGAATAATGACTTAAATTTTAGTCTCTTTCTACATTTCTGATGAGGTTTGGAACAACATGCGGGTGAGTAAATGATCATACACACAATTTTTGGGTGAACTGTCCCTTTTAGAAAAACCCGGAGCTTGAAATAACTTGCTATATCTCTTTAAAGATAAAAATGTCAAAGATGTAGTCTGTAAACAATCATGACAATGCTTTTGAGGTGCCAAGTGCTGTAAAGTAAAAAAAAAAAAAAAAAAGGTCTCAGATAGATCCGATTTCCCCTGGGCCACACTGACTGCTGCTGAACAGTGACAGATGCTGTCAGTAAAGTAAAGGTGATCTTCTCAGCGACTTGTAGGAGGCTTAGGAACAATTCTGCTTATCTGATTTGTCTTTAAGACCGTTAATGCCGTCAGATGTCCAACAATCCAGCAGCTCGGATGACTTGGCGCAGCAAACTGTGAAAGTATGACTAAAGTACTGTATATTCTACCGGAAAATGCGTCTGTGGTGAATGGGAACCATTTAATGCAGAAATTAATAGGAGATGGAAGTGGATTTTCTCTGAGGATCAGGCTAATAATCCATGACGTTGCTGTTTCTTTATCTCACAAAAACACTAAAGCATTAGAGGGAGAAATTGAGTGAAAAGGGGAAAAAATTTAACTGCGAGAACGAAAGAGCAAGGAAGAGAGACAGACAGTCAGACAGCGCAGATTAAGTCTGGTCTTAAGTATATGTGACGTGGCTGGAGAGGCTTTACTATCATGGTGTTGTAGAGCATGTGAGGTTACACAGCAAAAACACATGTAGATCTTATAGAAGTACAGGTTGTGTTCCCAATATTGATGCACCAAAATTATTTATTTTTTTGCTGTTTCATCTGAATATTTTCTATTGCTGAAATTTTGGTGCATCACTAATTCTAAGAATCCATTTTTTTTGTGTGCAACAAACTGCATTTTGACTAAACCTTAAAGGAACACTACACCCATAAATGAAAATTGTGTCATTTACTTACCCACATGTATTTTCAAACCTACGTTACATTATTTAAACTTCATTTATTTTATTTATTACTTTATTTATCATTTAGAAAACGTATTCTGCTTTTTTCCATAAAACAAACATCCAGTAAAGTGACCATAGCTGTTAAGCTCCAATAAGGTCAAAAAGTACAACAAAAGCAACAAAACAGTAGTCCATTTGTCTTATTTCAAGCATTCTGAAGCCAATTGAGCATTCAAGTCATCCTTTTCATTATTATTATTAATAACATATTATATTTCAGTCTGTTCCTCAAACAACATTACTGTGTGGCTTCAGAATATAGAAATATAGAGCACAAGTCATACTGGACTACTGTTCTTTTAAGGTGCTGTTTTATCCTATTAAGAACTTTCTTTTAGAGATTTTTTTACTTTTTATTTCTCCATTTGTGTTTTACAGAAGTCAGACACGAAGGTAAATGAGAGCAGCTCTTATTTGTCTGAAATGTCTCTATTATAAAATAAAAGTATTTCAAACACCTTCCTACACAGGTTTTAACATAAAATACAAGGGTTTTTGACATTAGTGCACTTACTGTTGGTTGGTGCAACCTCTCTTTCTGTTGAGAGGGACAAAACACATCCAAGTAATTCCCACAGTTTAACTATAAATTGAATGCCAGGGCTGCAAGCACAACGTTCCATAAAAAGATCCATAAAATGAAGTGGAATAGCCGTGACATACCAAGGAAACGGAAATTCCTCCTCACTAATGGGTTGAGGTAACAGCAGTCCCCGGTGATGATGGTCTTCTCTCGACTGTCAAGATCTTTTGATGTGTATTGTATCAAGAACAACACCGTTTCTGTCACGGTTATCTGAAACAGAGCGGAACATCAGAAAATGTGAAACGTCTGAAATAAAATTAACTAATACATTTTCTGAAGAAAATGTGAGTGGTGCTTATTAGTGCAATAAGTTATTACTAGATGGTTTCTTAACGGATCAAGTAATATAGCCCACAATCAAAATCATTTTCGATTTTATTGGTATATAACAGAGTACAGAACCCAAGAAGCTACGAGTGTGTGGAAAGCTACAACTG